CATACAAAAAGGCTTCCTCCCCTGGCCGTAGGTGACCATGTCCGGATACAAAACCAGACTGGAACACACCCTACACGATGGGACAAGACAGGGGTCGTCATCGAAGTGAAACAATTCGACCAATACGCCACACGCGTTGATGGCTCCAGACGAATAACCCTCAGGAACCGCAAATTTCTCAGAAAATATATCCCATTTCAGGCAAGACCACCACTCCGCACACTTAGCGATGACCTCAGATACACAGGGAAAGCCAACCAAGCGACGCCCCCCAAGCCAAGTTCCCCAACCCTGGCAAATCAACCCACAAGTGGAGCAGAGCCACCAACCCCAGCAGATCCAGATCATGCAAACAGGAATCAGTTGCCCGCTAATCTTGAAAAACCTCAACCCTCTGGACCAGAACCAGCACAGCCAGCAGAAACCCCTGGACCACCAACACCAGCGATACCTGAAGTCAGTCCAGCCACAASCCCTGCTGCGAAGAAAGTTCCCCTGGCCTTACGGAGGCTAAGGGACCACAACAAGAAAGGCATACTTGAACTACTGTTGAAATTGTCAAGCAATATGTTACTGTTTAAMTTACAAAGGAACACTAAAGACTTGGGGGGAGATAGAGAAATATGTGGTCTCCCTGTGGAGAGACTGGGATTAGCCCGGTCAAAGCCCTGTATGTAGTTGTATGTAGTTGTTTGTAGTCGTCTATCATTCTGCTTGTTATACTGAAATAAACAGTCTTTAACAAAGAAATGGATGGGGGACTCCTATCTAATCATGAGCAAAACTGCAAAGCCAGCAGTTAAAGCAAAGCGAAAGAATGCTCCACACAGAACGTACAGTGACCTGGAAGATAAAATGATTATGCAAGCAATGAAGCTTCAAGGACGTGACTGGAAAGCAGTTTTGGGATTCTTAAAAAGAAACTGGGAAGCACTAGGAAACGACGGAGAACTTTATAAAGACTGTGATATCGGAGACAAATCTACACAAAACTGACTATGCAAAAGAGCAACAAAATTCATGGACAATCGAAATAAAAAGTTATTTTTGAAGAAACTATTAACGAGGGGAACAAAAGCCAAATAAAGATTGAACCAATTACTGATTTCAAGTGAAAGTGCTTATTTCAGCTTGCTTGTTTAAAGTCTTGCTCTTATAGAACAAAACTATTTGCTTAAAATTGGTTTAATTTGCTTTATACAGGGCGCCTATTGATGCAGGTTCGTGTTCCAATATCGATGATGAATTCAAAATGTTTGATAAAGTTTCATCAGTTAGCAGTGAATTTGAAGAGGAAATGGAGGAAATCTTACAGAAGATTGATGAAAGGGGTGTAAAAAATTACATGGATGCAGAACAACAACTAGAGGATGAAACTAATGCATCGAATGTTGTCGAGGGTATAAAGAGAAAAGCCAAAAGTGATCGTCAAAACCAGCAGGGAAAAAGAAAAAGAAAACTAAAAATGCAACAAGCACAACTACTCAACTTCAAAGCKTCCTAGAGCAGATGCCTGCATTTCTAGCAACAGCAAAATCAGCAGCGGAAAAACATACCAAGTCACTTGAGAAGTGGGAAAAAAAGGTGGGATTAGAAAGTAGTAGCTCTTGTGAAGAAAGTTAAAATAAAATGAATGCTCTGAAAAAAATGTTGTTTGATTTGCTTTAGAAGCCTTTCACCAATAGAAATGGTTACAAAGTAATATATAGTGGCTAATTCTAATTATATTCTATATTGTTGTCTTTTGTTATTATTTGACCACGTGTAGCCCAAGCTCTTTACTTGATATAAGAGAATGTATGTGAATATGTAACAGTCGATTTATGGCATAAATGTACAATACATTTTGCTATAACTTATTGGGTGCATTATTATAGCTACTGGTAATCTCTGGAGCGATTTTCAGAACTTTTATCAATTTTTTCCCCCTCTTACTATAATCTGTGACAGGGTAGGAATCGAAGCCCTCCATATCCACTTCGAACAGCTCTAAATTTGGTTAATTTTTTCATCGAAATTCGACTCCTAATGCAATGTGTCTTTGTACAGCTGTCAACTAATAACTTACCACTGCAGAAATGCTGGTTTCATCGAGCCAGTTGATTTTCTTGAGCCATGAGCTCTCCTGAGGCAAATAAAATCAGTGTCAAAACCGCCATGTTACCACTGTGACAAGAAAGTACTGTACAAAAGAGGCAGCAGGAGCCTGGACACTAATGCAAAAATCAAACGTGCCAGGAGATCATGTCAATGAAATTCAGTCTTTGCTTTTCTTCAACCATTCAAAGGCCACATGGCCTTCGAATAAGTGAATGGAAAAGTACGGTGGCCCATAGGGGACATTCTACTTTTAGTAGCTCTGTTTTGAAAATAAGCTAAAATTTTCATCGTGCTTTTTAAAAGATTGGTGATAAAATCAGCGATCGCCAATTTTAAATTTGGCAAAAAGATTGGCGATAAAATCAGCGATTACCAATTTTAAAATTGGCGAAAAGATTGGCTCTGGAAATATCAAACACCGGAAGCCAGAATCAGGCTATTTCACCCATGCGCAGTAGAAACCCGATCTAACGGCTTAATTTTACTGATTTTACTCAAGAAAATCGGCTAAATGAAAGCCTTCGAAGTCAGAAAAGGGATTTTTTAGACCTTAGATGATAAATCTATCTTCTTCGAAGCTATGTTGATATCTATTATGATCAGATCGTAGCAGACAGTGAAGGTTAGTTATTATCATGGCGTGACAGTTCATTGCCTCGCCGTATTCCATTTTATACTTAATTGATCATATTACTCTCAAATGCCCACTTCATAGACTTAAAAAATGCTTTTAAAGGAAGAATTGAAGGTGAGGTAGCGAAATACAGAATGATTTGAGTGTTTTTCTCGGTGATATTTTCACTTCCGGCGGCAAGTTGTTTATTTTATGAGCCAATCAGAGAGCGAGAAATTTTCGCAAATTCCAGAGCCTCTGTTTTTCGTCGAGCCTGTGAGCCTGCGAGTAAGAGGGACAGTGGTTCTGGGTACAAGATTGTGTGGTTATTGTCCCTAGCTTGACAAGTGCATATTGTTATATACACAACCGCTGACATGAAAAAATATATCGCGGGAGAAGGTATCACACATCGCCAGGGACAAATAGAGGTTTTTCATGTGACGTCACGTTTCCTTGACAACGCGTTGGCGGCCATCTTGAAGGTCAACCAACAAGCTGTAACAGTCAGTTGTTGGGTAACAACAAAACCTGGGCCCGGGTCCATGGCCTACCCTATGGCCTACCCTATGGCCTACCCTATGGCCTACCCTATGGCCTACCCTATGGCCTACCTTTTTTTACTCATTTTATATTTCCCTTTAAAAAATCATTCTTGGACAAATTCGTTTCCAGCAGCCATTTTTGTTTTATGTAACAAGAGTTATTAGTTGGGCTTCCTGTGTTGCTTAATGACTGGGCTCCCTGTGTTATGCAAGCATGTGCCTTGGGGGCCTTTGGGGCTTGTGCCTCATCAATGCCACACTTTGTAAAATGGCAGATTCTGATGGCAGTGAAGATGGTAAGCTCACAATCCAAATTAATCTTGATCAATTTTGCTTCATCCTTTGTTTCTTTAATTTGTTTTAGT